CGTGCACGTTAATATGGTATAAAATAATTCCTATGACGTGAAAGATACGCTTCGCGTGGTCCGGTGCAACGGGAGGTCGAGTGGCCAGGTACGTACCTAGTCTGGTTAACCATAATTTTCCATTTTGCATCACTCGATCCCCGTGTTTATTATTGAACGAACACGATTACAACTGCGGAATATGTTCATTGGGCTACGCATACAGAATTGTCTTGATCGATCGACCATTGAAGCTATACACAGCCTAGCTCTTGCCCGAAGCTGTAAACTACAAGCAACTTTATGCAACAGAAAAAATATCGTTTATTGCCGCAAAACTGGTACTAAACGGAATTTTATCGCTTCTTTTATTAACTTCAACGAGTCGCGAAGAATTTAATGGCGTCCTCAAGTTCTTCCGATGGCTTAATGCACTTGCTTGTACGCAGTGTAGCCGATCAATTAACTTTTGCGTCGGAGATCGTGAGCAGACCGTGAATCGTTATGCAAAATTAAAATTGCATCGATTGCAACAGACTCTAATATTTCAGACTTTAGTAATCGTAATTCTGTTCTGAAATTCTTCGGATGTTTTCGAATATTCTATAATTAACGCAGCCGTCTCTCTCGCAAAAGCGCCAAATCCGCAATCTAATTATTCCACCGGCAGATAACAGCTTCCTCCAGAATTTGATTTTAACTTCCTCCAGCTGATAAGTTCGAACAATTTCCTTGATCCTATATCATATTTACTGTCTCGTTCCACATATTTTTTTTCAACAATCTCGTACACCAGACTGCAATTGCTGCAATCAACGGGACGATAACAATTTTTCACTTGAACGCCGATAATGTTCTATTATTGACCTGATTTAGGGTAAAATTAGGTTACCGAGTCACAATTTGTTTCTCGCGTTAAATTCATACAGCAGAGAATGCGGCTTCGATATGTCCGTTCAATAGTTCCATTATCGTCTCAGATTTTTCGTAAATTTCTTAAAACTTGCAAAATTCGTCGAATCTCTTTCTCATCGATTTTTGGTGTCCGTCAATGATTAACTTCTGTTGAAGTTTCGAATTCAGTATATTTTATAGTTTCAGCCGTGCAACGAACGCTGAACAATTCTGCTAATGGTAACTCATCTTTCGAATTGTCTCCTTCTTTTCATTCTAATCGCGCAACATTAACGCACCGTGGAAATCAAGGCATGCATGCTCCTGCTACGTAACCGACGACGTCAATCAAGGAGAATGTAGTAATTGCAATAACCGCGCTGCCTGTTGATTACCACATTCTTCGAAATATTCTGCGTGCTGTGCACGGAGTCTCTCGAGGAACCTACACACTTCCGGATTCTATCCACCGTAAACATTCACGAGTGTTTACAATTTTACCGCGGAAGGATTTTCCGACGATGTTTTTTTCCGGATTCGCTGCTCTTCGAAGAGAACTAATTCACTTGAAAATAAAGGAAGCTGATTCTTTTAGCTGAAGTTCTTGGCTTAATCGTGTGACTGCAATTCGTTTTTCTTAGCTTCAATACTGATCTCAGTTGAATGGAAAAACAATAAAGACGATATTATAATGGCAAAACAATATAATAATGGAAAAACATTTAGAGAGAAACATTTCATTACGTTCAATTAAATTGTACAACATCTATGTATTCCGCGTTCTCTTACAAACATTTTAATTTTGCATAATGTGTCCAAGCGTCGCTATACTGAAGAGAAAAACGGCAAGACCGTATCGGCAACGTTATGGCTTATAAATTATAATTCAAGTACCGCGATACTGTTTAACATTCGAACGATGGACCTTTCCGACAAAAACATACCTGAATATGCCTAGCATAATTTATAATTTTATTTAGCAATTCTTTTTTCAAAATATTTTTTAAGGTACTTCTTCTGTAGAGCTTAATAAAACGTGCGACAATTTAAACTAGTTTAACAAAAACATGTGACAATTTCAATTCCGGATCCCGTTGACCGAATGTTGAAGCACTTAAAAATATTCGAATTCGAGTTCTCAAGCGACGATTTCGATTGCAATCGAGATCGCCGATGTTTCGCGAACGATCATTCTTTCTGCGAACTGGACAATGCCTCGCTTTGTCGTTGGTAATCCGTTCTGAATGGTTAAATCGCCAAACTGTCGACCATAAATCGTCGAACTGCAATTCGCTGCCTCGGACAGCTGGTTATTATGGTTTCCCGTTCAATTTATTTATAGAATCGTTTCAATAGTACTATTGAAGCAGTGATTCGCCCGGGCCACGAACGGAATGCAAACGTTGCGATTATAATAATCAAAATGATCGGGACAAACTGGACGGGGCTAATCGGGCCAATTTGAAATCGAACCACGCGGCAGACAATCCAATTTTGTACGTTATTTGCGCGCCCGCGGGCACAAATTACTTCCGGTTTGGAATGCGAGCTGCGACGACCGCGGCGGATGTTTTCCTTCTCGTAGAAACACATGGGTGATCGAGAATCGTTCGTTGAAACGATTGCGTGAACGAGAATTACTCGTTAGGATCACAAAATCCCTCGAAAGATGATAAAAGAATTCGTGTCCCATCAAAACCCCGATTTCTAAACGTGATCTCAGATATTTTACACTGTTTACACGACTTTAGTGACCTTTCCATTTTATTTCTATTGTATTCCATGTTTATAATCTATAAAAATCAATTTGTACAATGTGGGATGCATAAATTAAGCAAAGACACTATTTATAAAACTTAAAATGAGAATTAAATGACTGACATTACAGCATCCGCCAATGATCTACTGTAAATAGAAACAATTCTTAATCATTATACTGCTGATTTGTGTGCACAATTAAAATTGTCTGCACTGATACAGGTACTGCATAGACATTTATCTCTATCTTCAATCATTTTGATAAATTGAAAATGGTGCAATGGTATTTGTCAACTTCATAAATGTTGTAGGATTTAATCAAGTAATTTTTATTACAAATAATCTGCGATATATTAATTTCTATACTAACATCTCAGAATGGCAATTCTCGAGACAGAACATATTTGCATGTTCATATTTGTACAATTATTTAACTTCTCCAGGGTATAATATTCATGAAAGTCTAAATAAAGTGTAGCCGAGTATTTTGGTAATAATATGACTAAGACGTCAGTGGGACAGTTTCATTAAAAATCGTTAACGTCAGAAGCGCGTTTCCTGTCCGTTAATGTAATGCGATCCTTGAATTAATTCGTTCATCTGCCTCCGCCGAAGGCCACGAGACTGTTCGAATTTCGAAAGGCCCGGTCTAGATCTTTTCACGAATCAGATCCAGGTGGCTCCTTATCGTTTGCGCTTTATGCCAATGTTTATTGCCAGCCACGAGCCCACAAACGATTGCAAACATTTGTAATTAACAACCAGATTTTTCCTGGGAATCATGCGAAGAAGCACCTCCTTAAAAATACAATATCAATTCACATGATATAACTCAAATTGAAGAATTTACATAGCTCGAATTGAATGTTCAATTAGGTGTCAACAATGGCGACGGTCTGTCTGCTAAATGCTGACAGGCTCTTTATCAGAATTTTCTTGACGTATGTTCACATTGTTACACCGACCTAATCGTATTACTATTGTATTAATAATTAATGTTTTGGCCTGTTGATTCAATAACAAACGCAAAACAAGGTAAACCGCATTAAGGCATAAACTGAAATGACAGGTTAACGCGGGTATCCTAGATGATATGTAAGAAGAATATCATTAGAATACATTTTCCATATTTTGCCACAAAAAAACATAAACAACTTTATCCGTGCACCTCTCTAGTTATACAGGTTTAACCGTCTCTAAGAGAATCAACAAGGAAAAACGAAGAAATAACAGAACAAGCTCGGAAAAATGAATAGGGTAACTGATCGCGACTAATACCGGCCTTGCTAGCCCTTCTAGAAACATGTTACCCGTGGCCAGGGCTGCGTCGCGCTGTCCTTGGGCCCTGTGCGTTTCCTTCATTCTTCCCCGTTTCGTTTTAACAATTTAAATTTTACAATTGAATTTATCTTAGCCATCTTGTTTCAAGGAAATCTTACTTTTGTAGATCTCGCAATTTTTTAAAGAAAATTTACATCTTCCGGCTACAATGCAATATAGTCTTCAATATAAGCTTCAAAATTATACGAACAACATTTTCATTCAGATCAATACATTTACTGTCCTCTAAATGAATGCACTTTCTGTTCAGGACTACAGTATAATCAGCTACATTCAAGACAAATATAGCTTCAGAATTCTATCTAAAACAACATGTTCGTTCAGATCAATATATTTATTGTGCTTTACTCTAAATGCAGTATCTGTTCTGGACTCTAGCATAATAGCCCGTGTCCAACGAACACAGCTACAGAATTCTATCGAAATACTCCACGCACATCTTCATTTGGATATATTCATTGCACTCGATTCTAGGTGCATCAAAATTATTCGAATTGATCTGTGGTAAATATGCAATTTAAAGGAGCCACCTCCGATTTCGAAAATGATGTCGAAGCCGTTATTCTGAACAATTTTATCCTATCGTTATGGAAATTCTTCTCGAGATTCTTTTCGTTTTAAACTGTTTCTCGCATTTGAGACCTAATTACACCTTGGGTCCATGACAAAAAGCTATTACATTATTGCTATTTTCCACAGTTGTGTTTAGGTTATTTTGCGAAACAGAAAGACTGTTATATTTATTGCTATTTCATTTATATGGTATACAGTATATTATTTCATATAAAATCGTGGATGGCTCCTTGAAACTGGACATTTCTCGTAATTGTTAAAGATCACGGTGCCTTTTGAAACGGCACTGCCGCGACAGCATCCCATGCCACGAAGCCCGTGCACCATCGATGTTTCTCGCGATTCGATTAGCCAGCAAACATCTCGGGCGACGTTCGCGTCGCAGAGCAGAGCAGACGCTCGGTTAAAATGCGAGAAAGCGAGAAGAAAGCTGGGGAGAATTGGCAGGTGCGTACCTTATTGAAGTGAGCTTGCAGAAGCCGTTCATATTGGTCGGCAGCACGGAGACAGAGCCGCGTTGTGAACGCTTCCATTCGTGCTGGCAGGGGCGCGTGGCAAACACTGCTTGACATTATTCCTCTCTGTCGGGCTGGCACTCCTCCGGTGAACACGCACGCACGTGACGTACAGTGTGTACAAATAAAATCGATGCACGCTACGCACCAACGGACGCACTTAAATCCGGCGGATCGTTTCGACGCGACGGATAACCTCAATCTGCGTTCGAGGGGCTCATCGCGACTCCATAGGCGTGGCTGGACGGTTTAACTCGATTCACGATTCTCCTTCGAACGAATTATCGAGGTACAATAACCCTTATTTTTTTCTCCTGCGATTACGCTGTCCGCCGCTCTGGCTTTCGTAGCTCGGCCGCTTCGCGCGGGATATGTACCTTTGAACGAAGGTAAACGAAGCGTCGGGTCTTCCCTTCTCTCACTGGATCGCTGCAATTAGCGGGGAAACTGAATCACTTGGCTTCGATGTAAACGACGGTTCCGTCAACGCGGCTCGAATTTTCTCGAAATGCCAACTTTGAATCGAACAGGCGTGCGCGCGCTACAACGTGTTCCAATCGGTCTCTCGGGGGTATCACTGCATTCGAAGCGATCAGTGGCGATGAATCCTTGTCAATGGATCAATTTATCGACCTCGGGTCTTGCTTTCGCGTGGAACGATCGAAATCGTTATTAACCTCACCTTTCGATGTCTGAACGTGTACTGAGCGGTGAAGAGAGCTACGTGTAGTTTTATCGTCTCGGCTACCCCCACCATCGATTCTCGACGGTCGATTCTCGCTCTCGGTGCTACGCGTGTGCAATAGCGCGTAGAGTGCAGACGCTCTTGCCGGCCACCGTGAACTATTATTCGGGTCGCAGCCCCTTTCCTCGATACCTTTTCCGTTTTAAGCCTTGCTTTTCCTGTAAGTTTATTTTCATCATTTCTTTGTACATTTATCAGATTCTGCGGCAATTGATCGCGTATCACAGGCAAATGTTTGAGGGGTAGAGATTAAGGAAAATAGCGGCGCTTCTCTCTCTCTCTCTCTCTCTCTCTCGTCGAAGAGAATTAGATATTGCTTATAAATAAATCATTCAGAAATAAATCTGTAGTATTAATATCACGTTGCTATATTTTATAGACTAACTATTAGTTATTTTAGTACTCGGCTCTATTTAAAGTCATATTGACAGTTTCTTTAGTAAGTTAACCTGTACTGTCTATGATTGGGGGTCCAGATCCAAATGGCGTCGCATGGTGGTAGATAACCATTATTCTAAAATAAATCATCCTCTAATGTAAATAGCAATTTCAAATATTGCAGGTACAGAATATTAGCTATTTTAATACTTATTTTTATTTAAACATTTTATTTAGAATGTTTTTAGTAAATTAACTTGGTATTGTCTGCGTTTGAAAAATATGTTTATGACGTTGTCTACAGAAAATGGCGATGTAGGATGAAAGTTAATCATTATTCTAAAATAAACCATTCTTCAATGTGCATAACAATTCGAAATATTGCAGACACAGAATATTAGCTGTTTTAGGTACTGTCTAAGTTTGACAAAATTTAATTGGGGTCTCGTCTAAAGAAAATGGCTGAAATAAACCGTCACTTGCTTGGTATTAACGAAACTTTACGATATGATACAGAGAAAATGTTGAGGATTGCTCAGTCAGAGTTTGTGGCGGAGGGCAGATGTGCTTGGGGTCATAAATTGCTACGCTGTGGGCGTGTGACCCGCATTTCGGAAAACAGTATTTCTGACCGTCCCAAGACAAATGGTCGGCATTCGTCGAATTTGGCTGCATTATTCTGCTACAAACGCCTGGGCTTTGGTTTCACGGCGCGGTCAGCTAGGCAGGGACTTTCACGTTTGGGACGTTGAGTACTTAGCGCGTCATCGCTTCCAGATGTTTGGAATTTCCTAAAATTCACTCGACGTTTTGGACTCCCCTGGAAGCGTCAGCGCTCCCTCCCCTCCCGCCGCCGCCGCCGCCCTTAGATCCCAACCGGAGATATTTTGAACAGCCCCAGGGCTGCCCCACGTCATCTTGGGCCCGCCGTGTTTGGGCAGCTTTCCTCGCTGCTCACCCCTAGTTACGGAAGGTAGGGAGGACCGAAATGATTTCAAGAGTTTCGACACACCATCGTACAAAATACAGTAATTTCTCCCTTTGCGCACAAAAATGGACAATTTTGGAAGAGGAGACACCATTATTATTCGAGCCGTGCGTCTCGTTTTCATAATTGTCGACAATCGGTAACTATAAAAACGAGCCGCAAGGCTCAGAAAAAATTGTCCATTTTTATGCGCAATCTGAGCGCGAATTAGGGAGAAATTACTGTACATTCAATGCTCGAATGATCGTCAGATAATTCGCAAGCAAAAACACAAAATATCAGCTTATTTAGTGCTCACTTTACGTAAAAATGTATTGAACGTCCTTCGAATAAATTGAGAGATAAATGAATAGAAAGATAATAAATTGAAGATAAGGAGAGATAATAAATTGAAGATAAGGAGAGATAATAAATTGAAGATAAGGAGAGATAATAAATTGAAGATAAGGAGAGATAATAAATCGAAAGATCTTTCTGCGACCTTGTTAAAGAAAGGCACAGATTTGCGAATGAAGATTCGAGATGCCGTGGAAAGGAAACAAGAGTTCCGTTCCAAAGCGAACACTCGTACTTGAAATCGTTCCAAGCTAAACTGAACTGACTTTGTCAGTTAACTGACTGTCCGAATACATTATTTCAATTTAGTCTCGGATCCGTGAAACGCGATAATAATCGATTCGCACGGGGAATTAACTCGACAAAGGAAACAGCTATCGTAACCAATCATCAAATCCAATTACAAATTCATATTTCACCGGCGATTGTCGCCGCGTGAAAAAGAAAAAACTTTCAAGAACAGAATAGGCTAATGAGCTGCAATTTGCATACGTCGTTTATCTCTTTACGGTGTTACATAATGCAGAGAGCCAGAGAGAATTCGCTTTCGGGAAGTATATTTAAACGAAATCGATACCGATGCCTATTAATGAAATAGTATTACTCAACGAATTGGAAAATTCTTTCTTTCCCATGATCATAAATTTCTTAATCGCTACGTTATCTACACGGAGACGTGAATATTAAGAAAGATACGCCGTCGGGACTTGCGTCAATTCGATTTAAATTAGACGCACGCGTTGATACTGTTATCGCCGCGTATTTCGATTGCAACCGGAGTCGCTGTTCTCGGCCGATTCTGTTCTTATCGTTAACAGTTACGAACAATTGAACATTTTCTCATCGAGAGAACGTACGGATCGTCGACCGAAACAAATATTTTTCGGCCGCGCGCACTTCGGTTTCGATTGTCTCGGAAGAAGTCGGCGTATGTATTTCCAGTTACGAAACGGTCGGCAGCGCATTTATCAGTTCGCACGGTAACGAAATCATTTGGACACAAAGAATGAATGTCTTGCAGAAAGCAAATTAAGTCGCGATCTGTGGTAAACATAGCTAAAAATAGTGTAAGATTGGGTCACTGCACGTTTCTTCCCCGTAATTTTTCAAGCTCGCTTTCCATCGTCTGGCTTCTTTCTCGATTCCTCGAAGGGGACATAAAAATGACGCCAGGCCGGGAAAGCCGATTTCCATAAATACTAATAATATCCACGGAGCTATGAATATCTAATAATACGAGCTGTCTAGAAATAGCAGACGAGAAACGGCACTTCGTGACGATTCCCGTGTCAGTCCTTCGACGATCTTTCTTGTTGCATAACTACGTTTTTCCCTAGTGCATTCAGGCGCAAGGATCTCGCCTGGGTTCGTCAGTCCTTCAATTTCGACCGTGTTTTCCTAATCTGGTCGCTCGGGAAACCCGAGAAACGCTAGAATTTCCTTGATCATTTTATTTTATTGGATTTCAAAGAATCAGCTGTACCCGGAATATTTGGATAATAACGAAGTGGTTGCTAAACAAAGAAATCTTCGAAAAGGAGGCCTGCGAGACAAGAAACATTAGGAAACCATTAAGACCGGGCGACACTTCGCGGTACCATTTATTTTAGAACTGACACCATGGACTAAAAATACTTAGGACCCGACCGAAAGAAAGACTCGCGACTAAAATCAATTCTTCCATGATTTTACTCGTTTCGACTGCAAAATGATTAATGAAGTTCCGGTACGTTGATTCGAAGTAGCGAACGATGATTTGTACAAACGATGTATCTCTTATTTGGCCGAGTCGAGTGCAATCTGCATTTTCTTGCTACTTGCATTGCAAAACGTGCTTCTTTAAACTGTGAAAGTATTAGCGAAGGTTTCGTTCGTCGATTCCGGGTACGAAACTGAAAGATTTGCACAAGAGATGAATTTTACTTGTCTAAACCTATAGTAAAATCGACGCGATTACTCGCGTCGCAAAATCTTCGTCATCAAACCGCGAACTCCTAAGCGAACCGCACTCGATCGATTCAAAATGTGAGGCACAATTTGACTCATCGTTTTCCTGCAACTGCTGCTGATTAGGTTTAGAGGAGCTCCGGTTCGACGAACGGAAGCTTACCGGAACGTGTCGCGCTCGTGTTCGAATTCGCTCGAAGCGAGCGCAGAGCGACAGATATCGACCTTAGACGAATCCTCGTTACGCAAGATCGTTAATTAAATGATTCGTGACATAATCTGGGAATTACTTGCGCGCGTACGATAGCGTCCGCCGAAATTACAGATACGGTCCGAGCACGTGCCGCGGATAAAGTTTCATTCACGCTTTTATTTTCGCTAGGGAGTTTTATATAGCGTCGTAATCTGTCGTTCGGGCCGCTCGTGGCTCTTCGGCCGCTTCTTCTTCTTCTTCTTCTTCGTCCTCCTTGATAACTTTATTTCCCCCCTTAGTTGTCTCGTTGGTGAAGCGTCGCCCGGGGGGACGCGCTGCTGACGCAAAAAGGCCTTATCGCTTATGGTGAAAGTCGTGTGATGCCTTGCGACAGTTACTTTTACGACCCGCCGCGAGATTTAGGAAACTAGAAACGCTCGTCGGGGGAACGCGGTGAAACCGCGCGGTTTTCATTGGACGGTCAGGCCTGGCCCATTTCTCCTCTCTCCGACCGTGAGAAATGTTTCAGGACACGCGTGAACTGGGTCGGGATTCGAAATGACCGGCTGAGAAAGCGTCTCGTTTCAGTGCGTCACTGTATGTGCCGCGGACTTCATGCGTTCGTCGGCTAAACGGGTGGGAGAAACACACAAAAAAAAGGACACAGAATCGTTGTGACGCCACTACAAATTGTTCTATCACGTATACAATATCGTTTTTACATTATCGTTTACATTTAAAGAAACGATTAAAAGTGCCCATGAAAATGCACATGAAATCCACTAAGTCATTCATAGTGGACACACACACACACATATTGTAGATTTAGAGTGAAAATGACTTCGAGTGCGTGGGGTTAATTTGGACCTAGTAAACCTGTGTGTGTGTGTGTGAATTTTGGTGAAATACAATGAACTTTATTGAATTTCTTACATACCATACACTGAAAGAAAAAGAAATAGATAAAATAAAACAGAAAAATAAAATTTTTTTTGCAAATGGAAACAAATGCAATTTTTTTATAGCACGGTAATATTAACAAAATTAGAAGATGTAGCCTCGAATGTCTCTTCTGCGAATCAATTTTTAAAGATATGTACCAAGATTATGAAAAAAAGGAAACCAATCTCTG